GTGATTCGATCCCGCGGCCTGCGAGTCAGCAGCCGAGTACCTTAACCACTAGACCACCGCGGCGGGGCTGGGGATGTTAACAATAGTAAGTGTAATGTAAAGGGGAATACAGAAAAAGTGAACAAGAACATACCTTGTTGCCGGTAACCTTTGAATGATCTGTCCAGTGCTCTACCGCTGTGGTGGTGGTCATCTATTGGTCCACTTTGAATACCTATATAGTCATCATCGTCATCAGCCTGACTACATTCACTGTAGAACAAAGGCCTCTTCCATGTTCTGCCAGTCAACTCAGTCCTGTGCTTGTTGCTGCCATTTTATAGCTGCAAACTTCTTAATCTCATCTGGCCACCTAACCTTTCGTCTCCCCCTAACCTGCTCGCCTTCCTTGGAAATTCATTCATCATCAGCCTGACTACGTCCATTGCAGGACAAAGGCCTCTCCCATGTTCTGCCAGTTAACCCGGTCCTGTGCTTGCTGCTGCCAATTTATACCCGCAAACTTCTTAATCTCATCTGCCCACCTAACCTTCTGTCTCCCCCTAACCCGCTTGCCTTCTCTGGGAATCCAGTTAGTTACCCTTAACGACCAGCGGTTATCCGGTTATCCTGTCTACGTGCTACATGCCTGGCCCATGTCCATTTCTTCTTCTTGATATCAGCTATGATATCCTTAACGCCCGTTTGTTCCCTAATCCACTCTGCTCCCTTCTTGTCTCTTAAGGTTACACCTACCATTTTTCTTTCCATTGCTCGCTGCGTCGTCCTCAATTTAAGCTGAACCCTCTTTGTAAGTCTCAAGGTTTCCGCTCTGTAGCTAAGACTAAATAAGATGCAGCTGTTATATACCTTCCTCTTGAGAGATAGCGTCAATCTACCTGTCATGATGTGGGAATCCATTCAGTTACCCTTAATGACCAGCGGTTATCCTGTCTACGAACTACATACCCGGCTCATGTCCGTTTCCTCTTCCTGATTTCAACTATGATATCCTTAACTACGGTTTGTTCCCAGATTCATTCTGCTCTTTTCTTGTTTCTTAAGTTTAAACCTATCATTTTTCTTTGCAAGTCTCAAGGTTTCCGCTCCGTAGCTAAGGCTAAATAAGATCCAACTGTTATATACCTTCTTCTTGAGAGATAGCGTAAATCTACCTGTCATGATATGAGAGTGCATGCCAAGTGTGCTCCACCTCGTTCTTATTCTTCTAGTTACTTCAGTCTCGTGGTTCGGCTCCGCGGTTTTTACCTGTCCTAAGTAGACGTAGTACAACTTCAAATGCACTGTTACCTATCTCACTGTTGTCTTCCCAGGGTGTTGTAGATTACCTTTGTTTTCTGCAGACTAATTTTAAGACCTACCTTTCTGCTCTCCTTGTCTAATGCCATAATCATGAGTAGCGATTCGTCCTCTGAGTTACTCAGCCATGCAATCTCATCGGCGATGTGCAGGTTATTAACATACTCTCCATTAACACTTATTCCTCACTCTTCCCACTCTAGGCCTCTGAAAACCTCTTGTAAGCACGCGGTAAATAGCATTGGCGAGATTGTCACCCCCTGCGCTACGCCTTTCTTGATTAGTATTCTGTCACTTTCTTTATGGAGCGCTATGGTAGCAGTTGATCCCCTGTAGATTTCTTCCAGGATGTTTATATATGCTTCGTTGATGCCCTGATTCCGCAGTGTCTGCATGACTGCTGATATTTCTACTAAATAGAACGCCTTCTTCTAATCTATGAAGGCTATGTATAGTGGTTGGCTGTATTCTGAGCATTTTTCTATTGCCTGATTGATAGTATGAACGTAGTTGATTGTGGAGTAGCCTGTTCAAAATCCTGTTTGTTCCTTTTTTTGATTGAATTTTAATGTTGTCTTTGCAATTACCTTTGTAAATAGCTTGTATATGACGGAGAGCAAGCTGATCGGCCTGTAATTCTTCAAGTCCTTGTCATCTCCTTTCTTATGTAGTAAGATAATACATAAGATATTAATATATTAAGGCTATTATGAAGATAATAAGATACTAGGTATATGTATTTAAACATGACAATGTCAGTAAGTGCTGCCAGTAGCCATTATGAGAGCTGGAACACACTATTTTTTACTGCGAAGGCTGTGATGAGATCAGAACATAGGTCACGCACGGCGCCGTAATCGTCCGCCGCCGCTGGTGTTTGCAACCACTATTGAAAAAAATAAATAAAGTAATGAACTCCAAAGACAATGGCATTTTAATGCGGGTCCGCTGCGTGCCAGCCCAGTATTCTACCTCTGATCTGCGCCAGTGCTTGGAACTCGTCTCTAAACTGGCCTTATGCAGGCTTTATGTCGGGAAAGGAATCGCGTTAATATGAGTAATAATGCACTTTGGAACGTCAAAGGAACAGCCAGCCATCACGAAATGCGAATTGCATAACGAGTGGGTTGTCCAACGCTCCAACCCATTAGAAAACTTATTTTTGATCACCTATTAACTGTGGCGCATACCCACTTCCCGCATAATTCTTCACCGTCGTCAGCAACTGCATGAAAAATTGCATGAAATTTCTAACTGTGTAGTGAATACCATGCTTCTCCAAAGAGTGACGAAGGATAGCATAGTGGATGCTGGCTTACTACACAAAAAGTATGATTATTTATGGTGTAGTGGGTACCCTACAGTGTGCTTGTAGCAGTTGCCAAATAGTGTTTAGAAAAGACCCTAAAAGGTCGATCTTTCAGCTTTCGCTGTCACTGTGCTGCTCGTTCCGCACAGGCCTGGCGTTCTTTGCGTGATGCCATCATGTACACAGCAAGTTCGTCCACTTTTCTTTCTTCACATTTATCTTACAGTTAATACTACTAATATCCCCTATACTTTCCTTGGGATTATTGTCTGTTGGTTCTCAATAATATTGCGTCTAACAAAGAAAACAAACCCTTAAGTATACACTCTATTCTTTTTTCATAGTGAGGGCCTCATTCTGGCAGACTTGATGACTTCAGGTAGTTTTTGAGGTATTATTTGTCAGCTGTAATCAGGGGAGAAATGGAGGTTTCACTGGCCATAATGGCTGCTGACACTGACTGACGCCTTTAAATGCACATATACACCCTATAAAGGGGACGGAGAGAAGACCGCCACCCAGCGCTAGAGCTGGATAGTTCGAAGGTCGCTGGTTCGCTCCCTGTCAACGGCAAGTTATCTTTTTGCCCACTTTTCTTTTTCATGTGTACATAACAGTTGCTACTAATAACACCCCCTATGCTTTCCCTGGCATAATTGTCTGTTCTTATTAATATTTTTCCAGGGGTAATTTTAGCTGTCGGCACAGTTTACGACATTTTTATGCAACATTGCAAAACATCACTAAGAGCCTGACATGGCCTTGCTCATGGGCAGGCCACCGCGCACAGCATGCAAGTGTCATGAGCAAGAGCCCGTAGGGGGAAAAACGAAGACAGCGATGTGTAGATGACAGTCAGTGCTGCGTGAGCGCGTGCACTGTACAGCGAGGCCCGAGGCGCCTGACCCCAGAGGCGATTGGCGCGTGAGCAGTGACGATCTGGCATTGTCGATGCAAGGGCTTCGCAAGAGAAGGTTGCACCGCCAGCAAACGCACTGGCGACGGGAGCAGCAGGACAGAGACTCGGCAACTTGTGATGCGGGCGTCCCGAGAAAAAGAAGGAGGCCTTGACACGCTTCGAGGGAGGCTGCTCGGGATGCAGCAGCCGTGCACAGCTACCGCTGACATTTCTGGTACAAACCCCTTTGGAAGCAAGCCATCGAAGACAGTCTCTGGGTGGCGAGCAATATGGGTGACCACGTCTACGGGTGACTGCGTCGGCAGCGGCATGAACAGCGGCATTCGTAGAGAAGGCCGAGAATCCTGACAAGGACACAACCAATCCGGACATGGACGAGCAGCGTGTCAGTTGCGACAAGTAAGGTGACAAGAAGCACCATGAGGAGCACTAAGGCTGTAGAGATGTTTGGCAATAGTTAGGACAGTTTAGTCTGTAAAGGGATTTGTTTATAGGTTAGTAGTTTAGACAACAGTTAATTCTATTTGTTTGCTACATTGTTGTATATTTCTAAATGAAGGGTGTGCCGTGCACGTGTTTATTAAATCGGTTTTGTGGTTAATGAAGTCATGTCTATCGCACGCAGCATTGTGCGCATCCTGCTGATTTCCAGCTTCATATTGTGCTTGGAAATCATTTCTGCAATAATTATGGAGCAGAGAAGGACCATAATGTGTGTCAGATGTTCGAAGGAATAAGTGCATGCACAATTATCTTTCTGCACTCGTTGCGGCTCTTAAACCACCGAAAGGTTGGACAACAAGACAAAGATGGGCTGTGCGCTGACTTATAACCAAAGCTTTATTGCCCACAAGGCAGTGTACAAGGTGCCCCAGCTAACTCTAGGTGAAGTTTAAAAGCATTCTCTCACACTTTATAATTCCCTGGAGCTTGTCACACTACTGACAGGTTTGAATGTCTGTGTTACCATTCGGGCTTGCTGGCAGCACATCTTGAGAAACGCTAAGTGTGATGCACCTGAACTCATAGAGTTTCTTATAAATGCACTAGTGTCTATGGGAGGTGCAATGCGTGGCGCTTCAGCGAGCATGGGAATGATGGGTTGTACATGGATTTGCCTAATTTTCGTCCTTTATGCTCTGTCTGGCTTTGCATGGCTCTAAGCTTCTTTCTCATGAAACAACAATCTGCAATAGTTTTTCAGTTGCACTTCATCACCTTAACCTTTAGGCTCACCAATTCGAATCGGATCACAAAGTTCAAAACAAAACTGAAACACTGCAATAAAGGAAGCCACAATTGTGTTCAAAGCCGGTAAGCACGAAGACTAGGCAAATTCATGTCATACTCGTAATTCCCATGGTCCCTGAATGATCACAGCGCCAGAGTCCCCTCTACTTAATTTTAGGAAACTCTATGCTTGAACTGGGTCATCGTATTGAAGGAGTTGCAATCACGTTCTTGTTTTTGCAGCCTTCGGTGCGGTTGACGCCAACGACCATCCTGTACTCGGGCAAGTCTCCCGATGGCAGCCACTTGCTGGTAAGAATAGCGCTCGCCACACTGACAGACACTTACTTCAGTAATGCACGTTGCTGGGTGAGTGAGCGGTATATTACTGAACAAGGTGCTTCTCAAGCAAAACACGAACAAGGCAGTGAATAAGCCCGTCTCCGTTCACTTCCTTGTCCGTGTTTTCTTAGTGAAGCACCTGGTATAACCATTCAGGCACCTTCGTGCTGTTACAACATTGGAGGGCTTGCTGGCATTTACTTGTACGAGACAAGTGGCGAAAACACTATTATGCACAATAGTTTTCTCTTGGGCTTGTTGGTTTTGAATGCAAAGCATTTTGCATACTGCAGACTCTGAGCGTGCCTATTCATGTATCTATCTATCTATCTATCTTGCCGCCTACATCTGGGTGCTGTCATGGGAAAGGGCCCTGCAACGTTTTTTGAACACGGTCAGAAAACGCTGCCAATCGGTAGCAGAGGCTCCAACATGCGAGCCGATTGTAGCACAGAATGCGGCCTGCAATTCACGATAAAGTATCACAATCTTCTAAAAATTGCTTTCTCTTTTCTCGACAAATTGAAGAGGCTCAAAATTCACTCATAAAAGGCCTTCTATCTGCCATTGCCTGATTTCAGTATGGCACGCGGGATCGCCGTGAGAGGCCGCGACTTGTCCACGCGTGTACACGCGATCACGCCGAAAAAGTCGCGTATTCGAAGAAAAAAACAAAGGAAAAGTGCCCAAGGTCACAAGGCGTGCATGGCGCACCTTCTTTGCCCATTCCACCCTTCCCTGCTTAGCATCTAGCCATGCTTCCAGTGCTTTTGTCCGCACGTGAGACTGCCCAAACAGATTGCCTACAACTGTATTACGAACCCTCTATTGTCTTTTGCCCATGAGTCACCAGGATGGCTCTTTTCTTGAAAGGAGCAAAATAACTTTTGCGGCAAGTTATCTTGTCGTTTTCTTTTCTTTCTTCACATTTACATTACAATTACTTCTAACATCCTCCGTACTTTTCTTGGCAATATTGTCTGTTAGTTCTCAATAAAAGGGTACTGACACAAAAGTTTTACCCTCTCCCAAATCGTCTGGGAGACTCCTGAATTTTGAACTGATTTATCGATTTTACAAATGATATTTCGAATCTCCCGAAAGGTGGCTGCCACAGCAGATGCGCATTTAAGTGCGAAGCATTTCTTAGCGAACTTTGGCGACTTTTAGCGTATCTATCTGTCTATCTATCTAGCCACCTACGACTTTTAGCTCTCCTGGCCCGTTTTGATAATGGTATCGATACCAAAATTGGTATGGCATAACATGACTGTATGACGAGCATAAGTGACTAGTCGTAACATAAAAATCATGAATGTCATGAATTACATTTCATAATCTTCCTGCTCTTGCGGTGGTTTCGTTCACATGACATATTTCAAGACTGGTATGGTATGACATTACTGCATGGCGAACATAGGTGACAGACCCTAACGGAGAAATCATGACATGCATGTCATGTGAGTCATGACTACACCCCGTACGCTCATGGGACGCTCGCGGTCGTTTCGCTTTCTTCACATATACCAAATTCGGTGTTACGTGATGTGAATGGATGACGAAGGTATATGACTGGTGCAAACATGATAGCCATGATATGCATGTAAGTACTTGACAACAAACCACGGTCATGGTGCATTCGCGACTGTTTTGCTAGCTGCACATTTACCGAATTTGGTATTACGTGACATGGATGGATGACGAAGGTAAATGACGCGGCCAAACATGATAACTCTGAGATGCGTGTCATTTAATAACTTGACAACATGCTACGCTCATATCGTGCTCACGGCCGTTTCGCCTGCTCGACATATACCAAATTTGATATCATGTGACGTGAAGAGACGACGAAGGTAAATGACATGTCGAAACATGATAATCATGACATGGAGATCATGTACGGCATGATGATTGATATGTGGGGTTCAACGTCCCAAAACCACCATATGATTATGAGAGATGCCGTAGTGGAGGGCTCCGGAAATTTCGACCACCTGGGGTTCTTTAACGTGCGCCCAAATCTGAGCACACAGGCCTACAACATTTCTGCCTCCATCGGAAACGCAGCCGCCGCAGCCGGGATTCGATCCCGCGACCTGCGGGTCAGTAGACGAGTACCTTAGCCACTAGGCCACCGCGGCAGGGCTTGTATGGCATGATTTAAGTGGACCTCATAACATTGTGCTTATTTTAAAGTGAGATATCAACCTTCCTTATTTGCGCTTCACATATCATCGATTCCCACTCTACGTGGGATCTGCCAATTTTTTTTCTTTAATCACGCTTGAATAGGTCGGCCTTTCCTGCTGTAACAGTTGCAGTGCTCTCAAAAAGCACTGTCCACAACACTTCTAGTTCATTGTAACCATACCATAGAGCACCGCTAAGTAGGCAGTGTAGTAGCGAGCCTATGGGCGGAGGCCGGTGGGTGCAATGCCCGCTCACCACCATAGTGAAAGGTACCACATCTTTTGCATCTGTTTGTCATGGCCCTGGCATTTCGTTTGCTATAGGCCTAGGCGTCAGTTGTGTTTGTTACGTGGTTTTGAGGGTTGCATGTTTTCCATAGCTCGGTGGGAAGGTCGGTGGCGGTGTCAAAAGCAAAGAAGTACTTGCAAGTGTTTTTGGACTTCTACACAACCCAGCTTGTGTGCTTTGTGACTTTGCTGATTGGCGGCAAGTACGGAATATGTACCACGTGCGCCTGTGATGTAAGCGCTTCGCACGGCAGCAAGACCGACATATCGCTTCACAGATGCATCAGAACGTTTGTGCTACGAAAGGGCAGGGCATTGAAAGTTTCTTCTAAACAAGCTGTGAAGACAATGCGATTTTCGCAGAATACCTATTCACAGGCTTTCTTGTGGAACACAACTTGCCTCTGAGCGTTAGTTATCGTGCAGGACCGTTGTTTCGGAAAATGTTCCCGAAGTGCGAGGACGTGAAGCGCTATGGCTGCAGACGTAAGAGAACTGCCATCCTCATAGAAATGGCTGCAGATGCCAAAAATTTAATGCATGGAGTCTATGAAATACCGTGCTTTCGTAGTAGTCACGGTGTACAGAAGCAACGACAGTGTGTCGCAAATGGCTCAGTCTCAGTAATTTCCGATATGCTAAAGAAATACTACCCCCCCCCCCCCCCCTCTTTCTACTGCAGTCTCCCGAACTTTAGTGCTGCTAGTTTGGCAGATATGCTGTTAGTTACAGCGTGCACATTGTTTGCTGCAGTGAGTGACAGATAAATAACTACAGGTTCCTCATTACAGACGAGTTTCAATTTCAGTTTGACAGCTCCAAAAATGACTAGTCGCTGGGTTCCACAATGACCACCTAGCATGTAGAACACTCAAACACGTCGGCACACAGAACTGTGACACACTTCCGCATGATTCGCGTCAAGAAGTTTTTTCGAACAGAAAACGGGAAAACAGAGTCGCCAGGTACAAAACTTTCAACGCCTCTGACACGGCGGCAATAGACTCTCGAGCAGCTACTGAGAAGTAATCTGCTGGAGCAAACGCGGCAAAAGAAAAATGGCGGCTTTGATGTATTTATAACATGCATTGACTGCAGCGCGGTGATGTGAGAGAAGTAAGGGGTCTCCATAGGGTCACCTTTGAGAATGTCAATACAGCGAGGCTCTATCGCATGCACAAAATCAATTTAAAGTATTTTATTTATTTATTTAGATATACTGTCAACCCTCTATTGAGGGTCATTACAGGAAAGGTACGACACACTGTACAAACAAATTGGGGATATAACTATACATCTCCCAATGATAAACCAGGTATACATATATACAAATCCGTGAAAGCTCTTCATTACAAATGAAAAACACACCCTGATTCGCAATGCAACAAATAACAATTGCAATAATATTTACAATAAATCACATAAATTTTATTCAAGTAAATGCACAAATTCATTAACATCACCCGCATCGACTATGTTACTCGGTAACCCATTCCAATCTTCAATGACATCGGGGAAAAAAGTATGACGGTACGCCTTCGTTCGTGCAAAATAAGGGTGCAGTGCTCATGTATGGTTTGCCCTCTCGCTTCGTTTCCCAGGTTGTTCTATGTAGTCATTTCTACTAAGGTTGCACGGCGGGCTTGTTGGTTATTCATGTTGTTCGAGGTATAGCGCATCCAGGACGGGACAGAGAAGAAGACACAGAACACATACACGAGTCATTTCTGTTAATTTTAAACTCACCTTCTAATAATTAAAAAAGAAACTTTAATCTATTTTTGTGTCTGCGCTTGTGGAGCGTCTCCAGATCACATAGTTGTAGCACTTCTGTGATTGAGTCGTACTGCTTATATCTTGAGCATATAAAGCGAGCTGCAAGCCGTTGTATGCGTTCAAGTTTACTTACAAGCACTTTTTGGTGGGGACTCCAGACAATACTGGCATATTCCAGTATCGGCCGTATGAAAGTTTTAAAAGCAAGAAGTTTTACGTCCATACTAGCACCCTGCAGTTTTTTTCCTTAATATGTACAATTTTTGTGAGGCCCTAGAGCAAACATAATCAATATGTGTGTGCCACTTAAGGTTATGCGTTATTGTGAGACCTAGGTACTTAAACGCATTAACTGTCAACAAGGTATGATTCCCGATAGAGTATTCAAATGGAATTATCGTTTTTTTTCTAGAAATGTGGGTGACAGTAGATTTCGAATAATTGATTTCCATTCCCTAAGCTTCACACCATGAGTGTAATTCCTTTAGACATTCGGCAATGTTCAATTGGTCCTTCCTACCAGTCACTCGCGTGTAAATTAAACAATCATCAGCAAGCAGTTTGAGCTTAACATGGCATTTTGCGATATCTGTGATATTATTGACATATATGAGAAACAATAAGGGCCCAAGAACTGAGCCTTGTGGAACCCCAGAAAACACTTCTAGTGAGCTAGACTTAGAGTTATCAATATTTACGAATTGCTTCCTGTCATTTAGGTAGGCTTTGATCCAATTAAGTAAAAGTTGACTTAGTCCAGCGCAGTGAAGCTTATACAGTAATCTGTCATGAGGTACGTTATCGAAGTCCTTAGCGAAATCTATGCAGATGACATCAATTTGTTCATTCATATCTAAAGCTGTCGCAAAGGCATGAATAGTTTTGATAAGCTGTGTTGTAGTCGAAACTTTACTCCTAAAGCCATGCTGATAAGGATAAAAGTAATTTTTAATTTCTAGGAATGTGATGACATGCTTGACAATGACATGTTCCAATATTTTGCAGCAGATAGATGTGAGCGATACGGGACGGTAATTATTGGCGGACAACCGATCACCACTCTTAAACACAGGGACAACTACAGCTGTGCGCCAGTCCGATGGCACTGAACTAGTACAAATAGATTTTTGAAAAATAACTTCTAAGTAGTAAGATATCCACTCTGCATAATGCTGCAAAAAAGGGGTGGGTATTTCATCAGGTCCGCATGCTTTTTTGGAATCAAGAGACAATAGACTATTCAATACTCCTTCTCGACTGATAGTAATCTCACCCATCGGCTCAGATAAGTAGCATATTACATCCTCTGTTTCAGTGTCACATCTGCGCCTTGTAAAAACTGACTAAAAAAAATGTTAAGACTATCTGCAATATCAACATTCTTCGTCACGATTTCATTTCCACGTTTCAGCTGGTCAATTTTATCGCGCCGATTGGACATATAAAGTCAGAACTTGCGAGGTGAATGTTTAATAAAAGAACTCAACTTTTGACCAAAAAAAAGCTCGCTTAGATTCCAACAAGTATTTTTTCAATTCTTTTCGTACACGTGCTATATCCTCGGAGTCATGGTTTCTTTTCCTCCACAGCCTTTTTAGTTTTCGCTTTTTGTGAATAATATCTCGTGTTATCCACGGATTGCGCTTTTTAGTCTAGGAACGAATTTGTCGATGCAATATTTAATAATATCTTTAAAACGTTGCCACAATTCATCAACTGTTTGGCGCTCGAATGTGTGCTCAAAATGACCAAATGAATACCTCAGCATGTCAAGAATTGAAGTGTCATCCGCGTTTGTGTAATCTTTTACTTGCACGGTCTTATAGGTTCTAGCTCGTGAAACACTCAGTGGAATAGTAACAGACCAATCTATGATCAGAAATTCCCTCATCAACACAGATATTTTAATTGCACAATTTGTTTGAAAAGAACACCTGGTCCAACACTGACCGAGACGAAGATGTCATCCGTGTATATTCGCTCACTATTTGGGTTAAGTTATGAGCGAACATAATTTCTAACATCTTTTCTCCACCATCAATCTCAACGTGTCCGGGCAAAAAAGTGTCCCAGTTAATGTGAGACAGATTAAAGTCTCCAGTAAGAATTAGCCTGGTGTTCCCATTTACATGGGCACAAAGGAAGTTATTCAATTTATCAACATTGTCTGTTGCTGTTGCGGGTGGTCTATACACGACACCAAGAAGATATACTGTATTAAAAAGGCTTATTTTACACCACACCGTTTCTGGTACATTGCTTCGAACATGCGCGGCCACAACAGAGTTTTTTACTATGATAGCGGCCCCGCCCCCTTGCGAGTCCCTATCAGATCTAAAGATTTTGTAGCCTTCTGGCACAATGCAGTTATCAGGGACACAACTGTGTAGCCACGTTTCAGTTATGGCCACCACATGAGGACTTCGTAATAGCAAAATGTATTCAAGTTCAGTTACTTTGTTAACGATGCTTTGGGCATTAAATGAAAGAAGCCGGAGCTGTGTCTGTAGTGAGGAAAAGGGCGTTCCTAGCGCGTTAGATGACATGCTCGCGTTTCTTGTAGTGATCCCTCCTGCACCAGCAGCTTCAAGAGCATATCTCTGTTTCTGTTTGTCTGCATGATTTTGATACAGGTATGTTTTTCTGGAGTGACATCCCAGCCCTATATATCACCATTTATTTTAATCTTATCACGCACCAACTTAACCTGTGCATCTTTAGCCCTATCTGAAGCTGCACTTTTCCATAGCTTGCGCCTTATTTCAACCGTGTCTCGGGCATAGTCGTGGCTTATGGTTATATTGGTCCCCTGAAGTTTCTTGCAGTTTTTAGAACACTTTCTTTCTCACGGTAATCATAAAACCTCATGATTATGGGCCCATCTTTCCCAGGTTTTTCCTTACCAAGTCGATGGATTCTTTCAATCGTTTGAATTTCTATACCAAGGGTTTCTTTAGAAATCGCATCGACCACAACTTTCTTCAAATCAACAGCTGAAGCTCCCTTGCTTTCGGGAACACCAAAAACCAAAAGATTATTGCGTCGACTGCGGTTTTCATAATCTGCAAGTTTAGCAGCTTGTTCCTGCACGATATTCCTGCAATCTATATTCACTGTTGATATTGTACAGATGTTTTGTGCTTCACAGGAATCAATCCCACAGGCTATAAACCCACGGAATTTGTGTCAGTACTTCTTTGATGAAACTGTCTACCACTCGGAAAAAAATTTGCTCATTGTGACGAAAGTGAGGAAATGAGAAGATTGTTCATCACATTGTCAGCAACGAGTGTGCTTTTGTTTCATAAAAAGGAATTATAATTTTAATTTGATGTTGAAAGTCAATACAAAATGACCACTAGTGTCGCCCAACAGCAATGTGGTTCAGTCTACTCTAAAAAAAAAATATCCGCAGGTAGACTCATTTTGTTCAAGAACTAACATGTATAACTTGAAATTGCATTTTATGCACTTGAGGCCGCTTTAGGTTACGTCACTGAGTGATTTTTGCTTTTATTTTTTCTCACGCGTTCAAAGAGGTGCTCGTTGGCGTATCTGGCGGTGTGTTCACTTGCCTGCCTACAAACGGGTGGAGAAATGCGACCACTGAGTCCGTGGTTGCTCGTAAGAGCAGCAAAAAAAGTGCCTGAGTGGTTTAAACGACAACTAAGGTATTTATCATTTAACAAAACTTGATAAAGCCTGCAAAAACTATGCGTGGTTTCAGTTTCCGACTTTCACCAACAATACAATCATCACCACCGACCAATGTTGTGCGTATTTATCCCTCTGATGGAAGGAGACCGAACACGGATAGAAAAATTCTGTTTTAAAGTTTTCTACGCCCTTTCCAGAGAAACCGCTGTAAGGTTGGACACTTCAGACAGTAGGCTTTCTATTGTGATGACACAAAGCAGAAAAGCAACGAAGGACGTTCCCTTTAACACTTTGCTTGTGCAGCACAGTGCCCTGTACCTGCACAAGAAGCTTCCAGTGATATGTACAAAGCCATCCAGGTTGCTTCTGTTACGAAATGCTGAAGCATTCTCTGAATGAGCTAAGATTGCTTATCAGAGCAGGCGAGTGCAATTTAATTCATGGCCCGTGACAACAGCCTATCCAAAGAGTTACCGTGCATGTTTGTGAACATTCCAACCAGAAGCTGCTGAGATTTAACTTAAGGGACCGGCACCCCCAGTGTGCACATTACGAGCCCATAAAGACCGATTAGATGAAATGACGGAGCACAAACATGTGAAAGTAATCCACTCTAGGTTTCAGCTATTAATGCCTACAATCAAAGGGGCTGGATTGAATCGGTTGACATGCAGTGCTCTGAATGCATTCTTGCTGTTCATACGTATGCTGTGTATTGTTGTTGCATGCATTTCAGTACATTCTGCCAAGACTTTGCATTTGTGTAATGTGGCTTCATTTGTGGGTGTGACTCTTACGCTTGGTCTCTAGACCCGCTTTGTGCAAAATGGCAAGTTTTCATGGCTATTATGCTAGTGAAAATTTCAGACTTTGAGTACGAGGCTTGTCGTGGTGTGGCCTGTCCTTGGGTTGTGCAGCGCAGCGCCCAGTACCTGCACAAGGAGCTTCCGGTGAGAATCGCCCATCGCATCGCAGGCTTCCGGAACCTGCCCTTCATTGTGGGCTGCAACCCCACCATCCTGGCTGTGGTGAGCACATTTCTATCTTATGATGCGTTCAGGTTTTACCCACCAAAAGCAGTTACCACGGCTGGTTGTGCCACTGTGTGCGAGAAATCGTTCCAGAACAGTCTGATAAGATTGCATGCGCGAAAAGAGCAGCTGAGTTTCTTCAAGAGCTAATGTGATCACTAGGGATAATGCCGGAATGTTCACTCACTGTGTATACCTTAAGGCGACATGCTCCACTATCAGTTCATCAATAACTGACATCTGTTTGCCCTGTTGTCACTGTACCGTGATGGTTGTTTGTGTACAGAGCATAGCTTTTCTTGGGCACAGGTATGCGCAATTTAATTTTTAACGCGAAAGTGTTAGAGAGCTCATTTCACAGAAATTCTGGCGTTGGCATCGGCGATATTGGTTGTGAGCAAAAATTATCATCTTATGCGTGACCGAAAATCGAAAGCGATGCAAATAAAGTAAATAAATGATAAAAAATTCTTGAGCAGAGTGGGGATCGAACCCGGGTCGTTGCGTGGCAAGCAGATGTTCTACCACACGGGCATGCCTCTGCTCTTGGAAACTGTGAAAAGTACTTCCTCTGCTTGGAAATGCAGTGAAAGTAGCTTTTATGTTTCACAAACACGCGTGTCCTGTATACATGCTTCACAATGCAACATGAAATATTGCAGTCATAATGCATGGTGCAAGCATCCATTGCCAACAGGTGTCAGAATGTGTGGTTATCTTAATGGTTCCATGGTTGAAAGCCGGTACACTACTACAAAAAGCACACACGCCACTGCGCCTATTCCCTTCAGGCCACGTGGTGGGTGCTTAACAAATTCGAAAAGGTTTCATGCACTAAATGTTTGAAGTATGTTCTAGGAACAAGATGTCCCTATTGCGTTCAACTCCTAAAGGGGAAGCTTTAGGGTCCCCAAATTTTTTTTGTTGCCAAAGTTTTGCATTCATGGTCGTTAAAGCCATGAAAAGTTTTCTATAAATACACTTGAGGGAACTCTGGTCCTAGTGTCTATGGGAGCTGCAACGCCCGGCACTTGAGCTAGCATTGGAATGATGCGTAGAACACTAATTTGTCTAATCTTCGTACTGTCAGCTCCTCTTTGCTTCGCGGGGCTTGTAGCTGCTTAGTCATGAAATAACAAACAGGAAATTTTCAGCAGTTGCACTTCACCACCTTAACCTCTTAGGCTCACTAATTAAAATTGGGTCACGAAGTTCAAAAAAGTGCATTCTTTTATTTTAAATGAAACGAAAACACAGCAGTAAACAAAACCACAAGTACGTTCGAGCCCACGGGTACGAAGACACGGCAGATTTGTGTGCTACCCATCATTCCCATAGTTGGGAACGATCGCAGCACGAGAAGCCTCTTTAGTTAATTTTAGGAAACGCAATGGTTACAACCATTTGACAGTGTTACCTATGCATGCACCCTCTTTTTACATTGGTGTCTTGCCTTATCTTTGGCCGCTATGAAGCTGGAGCACTAAAAGCCAGACAGATAACTTTGGACGGTTTAGCTTAATTATTAAAAGAGAAAATGCTGCCTCTGTTACCCTTTCAACTTTCTGCTGAGACATCATCTGCATTTTAGCCACATTGGCTCAATAAAACTTCCTTAAGCATATAAAAGGCACCTTGGCAGTTTTATACTATTCATCTTTGCCAACAAAACATTCTGTGAGTCTTGGCACACACAGTCGTTAGGATCTTAGCAATGGGGCTTAGTGTGGGCTGAATTCACAAATACAGTCGAGCCCAGTTATAACGAACCTGAGTGTAACAGGGCGTCCGTTTGCTGTATCCAGTGGTGGAAGTGCTGCCTCAATTGCGCCATCCTGACCTGCTGCGGCAAACTTGCCTGAACGGCAATTTGCACTTGCAGCGCCTAATTTGGTCAAGTTCTATCATTGATTGAGCACAAAGGACGCAACCGTGTCCATATCAAGGGGGGCGCTGCAAGTGTGCGAAGTGATCAGACGTGCAGCGCATCGGCTTTGTCGTTTTTCGTCTGAAACCGTCGGTTTCTAAGCTGGACCTCAACGAAACTGATGTCATTGGACGCCTAACATCACAAGAAGTCTGTGGACATCGATTCTTCACAGGTGGGCCAATTGTCAAGACTTTTACGCTGACCGTGTCCTGCAGCTCCGCAGTTGAGGTGGCCCTTTCAAGGGCTAGGCTAGATGCAGTTCGCGTCTCGGATTCCCGGGTATGGCGGCTACTAAGATCACCGGTTATGACCCTGTAACCATGAAATGAACTGAAATCAATGCCACAAAATGACATGAAGGTGTTCCACCCACTTAAGATGAGTGTTTGCAAGCCTTGATGCATCTACGGCAACGCAGGATACAGTCAAGTCCGGCAACCAAGGGTCCGGCACCTGGGCCAGCGCAGCGACACCTGGGCCAGCGCAGCGTCGCTGACCCAGGTGGGGATTTCCACTCAGTGACTACCAGAGGTGCTCTCGTTGCTTCGACAAAAGGAAAGGAGAAGACAGCCCAAGCAGTGGAGCCCAAAACAGACGCCAGGTTTGCAATTGGAAGACCTCATCATGGTCCTGAAACCTCAAGGAACCCCATTTTGAAGATGATTTTCAAGCACCGAAAAGTGGGTTTTTCGGTAGCTCTCTGCATTGGTGACCTGGCAGCCGACAATCTCAGCATCTGGCTCGTCTGGAAATAGAACGTCATTGTCCGTGGCACCCAGAGCCCATCCATTGCGGTTATCAAGGAATTCGACCTCAAGGTTGGGGAACAGACATATCCCTTCCGTGGCCACCTCAAACTCAATGGGGACTGTTGCAAAGTGGTCATCTGTGTCTGCGAGGATGGAACCTCTGCTTCACTCAAGCCGAAACTTCGCTGAAGGGACGGCGACATGGCTGTTTTCCGAAAACTTGGCTCCTCAAATGTAGCAAGGGTACATTTGTGGGCCAAAGACTACCCCATTACATTCACCACAGCTATGAATGTTTGCCAGTGCACACCTATAAGAGAACAGTCGCGGCATGCTACAGATTTGGTACAGTTGGCCAATGGGGGGACAACTGCCCTCACTCTGGAGACAAGCTCTGCGGATGCTGCGGCAAGCAAGTTGGGGCCACCACAGACGGCCTAAGAGAACACGAGTGCCAGCCTTCCTGCATAATCTGCGATGGGACCCACTTCACAAGGTCTGCGGACTGCACCGGGAAGTTCGGTAAGCTGCATCGCCCAGAGGCAGCGAACAAGGCAGAACCCGCCACAACACGGCACAAGCAGTTGCCCCGATCTTCGAAGATGGGTAAGCAAGGCCAGCAACAGTGGCAACCACCGCAGTAGAAAGCCGCAAACAAGAAGGTGGCACAGTAAGTCCAGCCAGGACCAGGGAAACAGGCCACGACACTCCCGGCCGGGGATTCCCTTTCACTCAGCAGTGCTCCAAATCAACAGGCGAGTAGCTAGGTAGTGGCCGCCTCACAGTCCTCTCCTTCTTTAAACCCTCTCACGCTTGATATGGGTAATCAGTTGGAGTCCTTAAAAAAGCAAAATGCGTAGCTTGCATCGAAAATTCAGGCACTTGAAAAAGCCAGGGTGGAGAAACCTCTACCGCGCATAGATGACGAGTGTGACGCGGCCTCTGTGTGCTCAAGCAGTACAATAACATCTCGCTCAGCCTCGATTGAAAATCTTGAGTTCCGGGTCTCTAGTATCGAAGAACAGCTAGCACATTTCACTGAACAGATGGTCTAGCTCCCTAATAAAATTAGTCAAGCTATGCAGGCAGCTATCCAGATGCAGACGCAACTCATTGTAGCCACCGTAACGCAGCAAGTAATGAAATAGATTCAGATATTGCTCAGCAGTAACCCGAAATTCGCACAACGCGCAGGGCCTATCTGTGAGGTCAGGCGCCCCGGTAAAATCCTCGGTGCAGCAAAGGGCGAAAAACAAGAATCCACCGACTTATAGAGAATTCGCAAAGTGGCGGTATAGCTCTCGTCGCTGATCTGGTCACTAGCCCACCTCAACGTATACACTAAAATGACAAGTACTCCTTCCAAAGCACGGACAAAAGGATAATTGCTCTCGATAATATGTACAGGGGAATTGCAGAGGTTTCCAAGACAAGCGCAAAGAGTCTTATCTACACCTCTATATTCAAAATGTGGACGTGATGTCCGCAGTGCTGGCCCTTCAAGAGCCAAGTTTGCAGGCTAAACTTTCAGGCTATAACACGTTTCAAAGGGACCAATCCACCTGTGTTCTGGTGCATAAATCTTACACTACGCAGGAGATTGATCTCAAGCTTATATTGAATCATTCCTACGCCATGGTAGAGATACTGCCTCTTTGTACAAATCATGCAGTTTATATACTGAACATTTAAACTCCGCCTAAAACATTCCTCGTCACCTATTCAGAGATCTGGCGTGCATATGCCGCGCACTTAGCAGATGCAAACTGGACAGACAAATATAATAATATCGCTCAACAGATGCCAAGCAAAGGCACATAGCAGCTGTTTTGTAGCCTCGTTGACCCCATGCAAATGTGAGGAGAAACACGACAACACCTGCGAAGAGCCCTTCATAGATTTCAGGGTACTTCAACACAACTCGTGGAAATGCTTCGCGACAGGTATCTCTACCAGGTGCATGCTTGGAGAGGTTCAAAGTATATGTATTCGGGAAAAAAAAAAAAAAAAAACGAGACCATAGATGCCCCCTTTCTTCTATATGACATGAAGGCGGCATTGGCTAAAATACGTAGAAAAACAGCCTCTGGTAAGGATAAAATCACAGTCAAGACACTGGCAAACTTGGCCGATCCTACACTGGCACACCTCTTGGAATACATTAAAGGCAACTATTGAGTCGACATTGATTGTTGAAACAGCGATCTGGAATTCTCGTAGTGTTACTTTTGTGCCAAGGAAAGGCTTATTTTAAAATAAACTTGCGTTTTAGTGGTCCGCATTGGGCTAGTGCACTTCGAATTACCTACCTCGACGAA